AGGTCATGTAACGACGACACGAGAATGATAACGTTCTTTAATAAAAAGAAAAATTATAGAAATTTGTAAAATCAACATAAATAAATTTTCTCGCATATCTGTAAAACTAAGTCTTCATGTTTCCTTAACCTCGTTCGCTTATTTCATTATTCATCTCGATTGAGATGGGTACATCAAAACGTCGATAAAAGATGACTAATCGACTATTAACTTGCATCTAACTAAATTATAATTAGCCATGGACAAATAAGGTTGAGAAATAATTAAAGATATATCCGTGTATTTCATTCTAATACGTTTCAATTGTATTTCTACGACGTATAAAAGTTGATCTTTTCCATATATCCTTGCATTTCCCATATATCATATATCCAAGTACATTTTTTCCACATACGTTACATATATATATATCGCTGTTCAATCAATTTCAATTAATTTCTGCGATGACTAAGTGCAGCTCGAGGAGAAACGGCTCGTTCCTCTTTCGAAACTCTTGCAATATGCAGCAACATTGATACAACTGTCCTTGTCAAACGTGTAATAATCCAAGCCGAGAGAATTTGCAAGGTGAAGAAGGCTAGACAAAGTAAAGCGTTGGAAGCTTTGAAAATCAAAGGACACGAGAGCGTTTCGAATCATTGTAAAGTTTCTTCGGACAGAGATAAAATTTCACACACGGCTGCTACATTTTGAACATGTACACACGCATATCTCGACAAAGCTGCTTTCACATGCATTAACGAAATGCGTAGAACGAGCGACCTTTTTCTCAGTCTGGCGAAGAAACTCGCCTTTTCTCCTGTTTTTTTTCTTTTTTTTTTTTTTTTTTTTTTGTGTGTGTCGAGAAAGCAACATGTAACAAGTCAATCGCGAGCAAACGTTTGGAATCACGCGCGGATTCAGGATCGAAGAGAAACCTCTGGCAGGCGTACGAACAGCGGAAAGAAAAGAAAGTTAGACAGCCTCGAATTTCGTGTCAGAAACGGTGCTCTTTGCAATTTCATAACTGCCGCGTAACGACCGCAGCTAACGATTATAGATCAACAGAAGTCGATTACAGAAGCGCGTTGCGACAACCACGAAGCGGCGAAGCTCGCGGTAAAACGGACACTGGCCATCGTCGACGACGAGCTCCACTTCCGAAAACGGTGAAACTGTACTTGTACGGCTTATTCGTCGACCGATTTTTGCGAGGAAAAACGAAAATTCACAAAATCTGGCAGAAGGGATGCGATAATATTCACATTGGATGAGGGAAGTGATGGGCCATTTGAGATTTAAAATTTAAAATTTGGCCACTTTCTTAAAAGGAATCATTACATCTTAAATATAATTGATATTTAAGAAAAAAAAAAGTATTTATATTTGTGAAACTAGATACATATAAATTTATAACGTTACAAGCAGAGAATAGATTTACAAAACAAAAGAAATGGCATCTCGTGCAAAATTATGACTATATAAATTATTTACTATATATATATTTACTATATAGACTATATTAATTATTAATGAATAATTTATCCGGATTGTCCGAATTATATTTTGAGCTGAATTTTTAGTATTTTTATTATTTCGTCTTAGGTCTGTTTCATTCGTATTAAATATACTTCTTTGTTCAAGAGACTTTTTTGTAAGGTCTATTCTACAATAACAATTGAAAATATGAATTAATTTTTACCCTATTCATATTCTGACATCTTCTGATTTTCAAATACCGAGATCTTGATGGCGTTTTGAAAATATATTTAGCCAATCAATTAATTCTTCCTCCTTGTTAAATTTATCCTCAAGGTTACAGCCAAATTAAAAAAGCTAAAGCTGATCTTAGATACTCATGCGTTTCTGCGAAATTTTGTAATTTTTCGACGTCAATTTTCTTTCAAGTTTCTCCCCATTTTCCATACTTGGAATTCAGGCAACGAAGGTGATCCTAAAATTTCATTTGAATGATCATTATCCTTAACGTAGAAGCCCGGATGCCAAAAAACTTTAGATGTCGCATTTATGGCCATTTTACTACTTTGAACTATCTCTACAGTTCTTCGTTTGTCCATAGTTCTCTGTTGCTAGATTTTCTTTTATATTCAGCTGGCATGATACTCTAGAAAAATATTTACCAACTATTATACACACAATTTTACGACGAGTCAACTCTGGAAAAGAAAACATAACCTCTAAATATTATATTGACACACTGTATTACAACATAACCTCTAAAAAATTATATTGACTCAGTCGTTGCTTTTTGGCAAAGTGTTAATAAATTATAACTTGGAGGATAAGCAGAAAATAGATTGAGACTATTCACTATACTTATTTTTCAAACGAAAACAAACAAGAAGAACGATTAGTACGTAGTAATAATTGTGATACAATGTATCACTAAAAAAAAGGTTGAAAATTTAATAACCTATAACTCATATTTTTTAAGAAAGGAAAGACATTGGCCCGTATCTATTAAATATTATGGATGTAAATATACACGAGACCTATAATGACTTGTAACCTATACTTTTTAAGAAAGAAAATTTCAAGAGGCATTGAACCGTGCTTCTACCTATTAACACTAAACATATATACCTATCTTGCGGTACATAAGGTATGCAAAGAATTTTTCTCGGTAAAAAATAAACTAAGAGAAAAACAGAAATAATCAGATAATACAAGAATTTAGAAA